TGTGATCAGTGGATACCAAGGTGGGTTATATCTGGCCTAACCTGGCTCATTAGTGTGTTGCTAATACCCCAGGAGGAGAACAAGAAGGAGGAGGAGGAGGAGGGGGAGGAGGAGGAGGAGGAACGAGGAGGGAGGTGGAGCTCCCCGTCGCATATCTTATCGTCTCTCCCCCCCCCCTCCCCCCTTTTTCCCCCGTCGGGATTTGCCGCAAGGCCGTTGTATAATGGCTGCTGTGAGGTTTATAGTGCTCTCTGAGAGCGTCGTCGAACGCGATGCTGTGTGGTTCCCAATTCATGCCGTATCGCTGTTGGAGCTCAGCAAAATCTTTCCTACTCAACAGAGGGCGCTCGCGGCGCAGATTCACTACCGCCAGGGGCGACGGCGTCGTCAGGCGCATTATCGACATCGCATTCCTCCCCTGCCCCTCCCCCCCTGCCCCCCCCTCCGTTCCCTCTCTCACTCGACAACCTCTCCCGTCCAGGCGTGCCCCGTCAGCATGGTTTCTGGATGGGCTTGTGGCGGTGCGCGAAGCGTCATTACTTGTCTACCATGTGCCGCACCGGTGCATCTGAGTGCCTATCAAATGTGGAGGGCCGCGCGGTCGAATAGTGATGAATGTAATCATCGTGTTCGCACGCGCTGGGGGGTCCGTTATATATGTTCTTGCAGCTGGCGCAACAGGAACTCCCTGCCGCGCCTTTCAGCGCCCGTGCCTCCTTATGGCGTTTCTCGTCCTGGATCAAGGCCTTATGATGAGCCTGGAGCAAGAAAAGACCCCCGCGACCGTCACTGCACCGAACGCCAGCTTTAAAATTATGGAGGCCCGCGAACATAACGTGAAATATTTTGCGGAGCACGCCAGAATACCCAGCCAACACACGCGAAAGCCGATCTACTTCGAGGACGCCTATGGGGAACCACCCGTGGTCTTGTGACCTCCGCCATTCTGGGAGATCTGTTATTGTAAAATAAACCACAAGGTATTTATTGGCGTTGTCGGGGCGCATTGGGTTCCCCATGCTGGCCTCGCCCCCCCACAGCGCCAAGCCGCACTGCTTGCCAGCGCAGCTGTCCGACATCAGTCTGGCAAACGCAGGCGAGGATTCACATAGGTGATTCAACGGGGCAAGAGGGTGAGCATACCACCATGTGAACGAGGACCCATCATCTTGTTCCTCGTGACCCCTCGTGGCGAGGTACACAAGCATCTACTGATGTATGTAGCGATCCTATATGACATGTGTTTCAAGTCCCCATCCTCTTCCGTGCTCGTCCACTCCCCCACTCCGCAACTCCCCTCCCCCTCCCCCTTTCCCCTCTGCCCTTTCCCTTATAACATATATATGGGCGGCGGAAGGTGGCGCGTCGACGCGGTGTATCCAGGGAAACGCTCTGCATTATCTTCCCATACCCTGTTCGAATGCTTTCAACGTACTTGAGAACTGAAGCCGAAATCGAATTGTAGCCCAATTTAGAATCTAGGTCCTCCTCTTGCAAAGCGTCAAACATCCTCTTCATGGCATTGAAAGATGTGCTGAGGCCTACAGATGCAGCTACACGGGCACGTTTGACAGCGTTGTCCATGTCGCGACGGCACAATCCCCCTCGTCGCAGAATGTCAAGGAAACCCGAACAGATTGAGCCGAAAGTGTGTTACGGATCGAATATATTGCCGCTCGGGCCATGGGCTCAAACACGGAAGTTAGCAAAAGTTAGGAAACAGTTATGCAAAAGTTATGAAGTAAAACAAAAATATATGGGGAATCTTGGAAGCGAATGGAAAGTTAAGGAAAAGTTATAAGTAAGTTATACCAGCGTTACATGAGACTTGCGAACAAGTTATTATCATATCCCTAAGTCGCCTTACGACCTACCTAACAGCCCAGTGCACGAAGTAACTCCCTGTCGCACCCCGAAAGGGCGGCCCAGGGTTTTCGCCCGAGACTTCCTCACCATTTATGATCCTGAAGTGTTTAGGGATGGAACGGGGCTCGTTTCAAAATCCCACCAGCCCTTTGGGCGTGAGTGGTTTAGAGAGCCCGCTCTGTTCTAAACCCCCCTTCTTCCCTTTCGGGGAGGGGTTTACCCCTCCCCCTCCCCCCTCCCCCTGGGCCTGGAGAGGGCGCCCCGCGGGTCGTCAGGGGGGTCAATTTCGACTCCTGGGAGGCCTAAAAAACGACGACCCTCACGAGGATTCTGGCCCCGACGGGGGGCCGGAGAAAAAACCCTCTCCTCTTCTGCGAAGCCAAAAACATTGATTTTACTAGGGTTTTGGCCCCATTTTGGCCTTCTGAGGGGGCAGCGCTCCTGGTCCTTCATAGCAAAATCATTGATTTTACGAAGGTGTTGGGCTCATTTTGTTTTTCTCAGGGGGCAGCCCTCCATTGCGCTTCTGAGGAGCTCGCACGAGGTCCCAAGATGGCCCCAAGAGGCCCCCAGGAGGCTCCCAAGAGGCCTCCCAGAGGCCCCCCAGAGGCCCCCAAGCGGCCCCAAGAGGCCCCCAAGAGTCCCCCAAGAGGCCCCCAAGAGGCCTCAAGAGGCCCCACGAGGCCCCCAAGAGGCTCCCAAGAGGCCCCCAAGAGGCCCCCAAGAGGCCCCAAGAGGCTCCAAGAGGCCCCCAAGAGGCCCCACGAGGAGCCCGAACGACGCACACCAGGACGAGGGGCCCGAACGACTCACACCACGAAGAGCCCGAACGACTCACACCACAAGGAGGGGCCCGAACGACTCACACCAGGACGAGGCGCCCGAACGACTCACACCACGAGGAGCCCGAACGACTCACACCACGACGAGGGCCCCGAACGACTCACACCACGAGGAGCCCGAACGACTCACACCAGGAGGAGGAGCCCGAACGACTCACACCAGGACGAAGGGCCCGAACAACTCACACCACGAGAAGCCCGAACGACTCACGCCAGGACGAAGAGCCCGAACGACTCAAACCACGACGAAGAGCCCGAACGACTCACACCAGGAAGAAGGGCCCGAACGACTCACACCAGGACGAGAGGCCCGGAGATATGCGGGGGCAGGCGGCAACACGCCTGAAAAACACGACTGTCGGCATGCTTCGCAAGAGTTGCTGTTTTGAGATGGGCTGGTGGGGATACGCGAAGCGTGAAGAATTTAGCTATCGCCAAGGCGCCGCGCACATTCGTCCTAAAAACTTGCAAGAGTTTCGCGGATAGAGAACGGGGGGCTTTCAACATGTGGCTCTCGCCTTAGCGCCGCGCGCATCCGTCTTAAATTACCCCGGCAAAGCAACCTAACAGCGATGTGTCTAAGTATAACTGAAACATGCAGCAGCAGTGAGAGGCACTGTGATACCAACAGTAACAGTAATAGTGATGCAAAAGCTGTTGTCATCGTCGCGCTGAGCTTGATTCGATGTGTTGTCAAACAAGGTACTGCCATGGACGCATGTCGCTTGAATGACTACATGTATAAACGAGACACTGCTATCAACGCACGGAACTTGAATAGATATATGTCCAAACGACCAAGCACGGCTGTCGCGGAAGGAATATAAAATGTGACCCGAGACTAACCTAGTGAAAACTCAGAGAAATCAGTGTGTGTGTGTGACGGTTGTGTCA